TTCATCTACTGATGGACACTTAATTTGCTTCCATGTCTTGGCTATTGTAAATAATGCCGCCATGAACATATGGATGTACATGTCCCTTTGAAGTAGTGTTTTGAGTTTCTTTAGATACCCAGAAGTGGAATTACTAGGTCTTTCTTTGTCTCTTGTTAAAGCCTTTAAAGTCACTTTTGTCTGGTGTAAGTACTGGTAACCCAGTTTTTGTTGTTGTTTCCATTTTCATGAAATGTTTTTTTCATCCTTTTACTTTTACTCTGTGTGTGTCTTTCAATCTGAAGTGACTCTCTTAGAGGCAGCAAATGTGAGTCTTCCCTTATATAACCTATCCCCTAGACACCTTTGGGGAGCCAGATCTTTGAGCTTTAGCTCATCTGTGTCTCCAGGCTTGGTGTCATTTCTTAAATAAACCTCTATTTTCTTTGCTGTAAACTTGTCTCTTTTGGTTTGATGCATGCAGATAAAATGAACTCTTTGATTCCAGTAATATCTTCCTGGTCTGCCCTTTGGTTGTGTCTTTTGTAGAGGTGGTTGGGTGGTTTTCTGGTGTTGTCTGAAGCTGGCCATTGGGTATGTTGGTTCTGGGGCCTCTTGGGAAAGCGGCTTTTGCAGGTCAAGGTCACCCATTGCCTATGCCCTGTCTGGGGCCACTTGGAATGAGCTACAAAGTGATTTGCAGGTGTTTGCCATTTGTGCTGGGCTTAGAGGTACCTGGGAGAGGCTAAGCTGTGAACTGAGGCTGGCTACTGCTAGTGCCAGGCGTGGGCTGCTTAGCAAGAGGTATGGGGCACGCCAAGGCAGATGCTGCTTCTTTGGGGTTTGTGAACCTTTGACAGACTTTAGGAAAGTCTGCTGCATGAGCCAAGACAGGCCATTTGTATAGAAAAGCCGCTAAAAGTGACTTAGGTGTACCTGAAATTGGGTGAGGCAAGGTCTCAGGGAATCACCAGGGCAGCATGAACAGTGTTAGCCAGAATGATGGAGACTCAGATATGGTGGCCGCCTGTGTCTGCATGATGGATAGGGAGAGGGCTCAACAAAGGAAATATAGCTTCTTCCAGTACTTCTGTCTGAGAGAAAGCTGCCCCTCCAGCTCTCACCCTGAAGCCAGAAAATTCAGTTCCTCTCTGTATGTCCCTGGAACCTTTGAGGGGCTGCCCCCAGTGCTGGAGCTCAGAGCGAGTGAATCCATCAGTGAGTTAGTTTGTGCACAGGCCCTTTAAGAGAAGCACCTGGCACTTCAGCAGCCCGTCCGTCTCACTCAGCCGCAATCTCTACTGGTTTTCAAAGCCAGAAGTTATGGGGTCTTCTCTGCTTGGCACTGGAACCCTGATGTGGGGCCGAGCCCCATTGCTCTTCAGGGGGAACCTTTCTTAAGGGGACCTCTGAAGTTGAGATATCCTTCAAAATTTTTACTACCACACATGGGTGTGGGATCAACCCTTCTGCATCTCCACCCTTCCTACCAGTCTTGACATGGCTTCTTCTATATATTCTTAGTTATAGGACTTCTATTCAGCTAGACTTCAAGTGAACAGACTTAATGATGGCTGTTCTGTAGTTTAGTTGTAATTTTGATGTGGTTGTGAGAGGAAGCCAGCACAGCATTGACCTATTCCACTACTTTAACTGGAAGTCAGTGTGGTCACAATTTTAAACATTCCTTCCCTGACAAAGGAAATCATCAACGCAATGAAACCACATACCAAATAGGAGAAAATATCTGCAAACCATGTATCTGATAAGGGGTTAATATTCAAAATATATAAAGAGCTCACAGAACTCAATAGCAAAAATAAAACCTCCAAACCCAAAACAACAAAACCCTATCTGATTTAAAAAATGGGCAGAGGATCTGAATAGGCACTTTTCCACAGAAGACATACAAATGGCCAATAGGCATGAGATATCACTTCACACCTGTTAGAATGGCCATTATCAGGAAGACAAGAAATAATAAGTAATGGGGAGGATGTGTATAAAAGGGGATACTTGTGCACTTCTAATGGGAATGTAAACTGGTACAGCCACCATGAAAAACAGTATTGAGTTTCCTTAAAAAATTAAAAATAGAACTGCCGTATGAGTCAGTAATTCCACTTCTGGGAATCCATCCAAAGAAAATGAAAACACTAATTCAAAAAACACGAATTCAAAAAATTATGCACTCCCATGTTCACTGCAGCATAATTTACAATAGCTGAGATATGGAAACATGTATCCACTGACTGATGATTGGTATGTAATTGTGGTATATATACATAATGGAATACTATTCAGCCATAAAAAGGTATGAAATTTGCCATTTGTGACGATATGGGTGCATCTTGAGGACATTACACTAAGGGAAATAAGTCAGATAGAGAAAGACAAATACTTAATCATCTCACTTATATGTGGAACTTAGAAAAAACAAAAAACAAACCAAAAAACACGTTCATAAATACAGAACACAGACTGTTGGTTGCCAGAGATGGGGGGGGGAACAAGTAAAGGGGGTCATACAGTACAAACTTACAGTTATAAGTCATGGGGATGTAATGTATAGCATGGGACTATAATTAATAATACTGTATTGCATATTTGGAAGTTGCTGAGAGTAGATCTTAAAAGTCCACATCACAAGAAAAAAATAACTATGAGGATTGATGTTAGCTACATTTCTTGTGATCATTTTGTAACATACAAATATCAAATCATTATGTTTTATGCTTGAAACTAATGTTTTATATCATTATACTTCAATAAAAAAAGGTCAATGAGACTTCGAAATGTGATTTCATAGATCTTGGCTAGGTGAATTTATTTCTGCTCTGTGTGACTGGGATAAAAACAGTGGGTAAACTCTTGGGAGTGT